CACGGGGGCAGCTCGTGCCGCCCTGCGAGAGCTGGGCTGGCGGGCGCCCTACCTGCCCTGCGGGCTGGGGACTCGCTGCTCCCTTTCCTTATTTGCAGTGGCCCGGTGGCTACGTGCAGCTCCATTGCGTTACGTGCCGCAGCACTGCAGCACCACAGGCCAAAGGCTCCGCATTACTTTTTGGGGCAGCGCTTCAGAGAAAGGGCTGCGGGAGCCAAGGCAGACCTTCCTCAGCTAACCACAGCGCAGCCCAGGGGGATGCTGGAAACATCCCACATAAAGAAACTCCTGCGGACGGACAGGCGGACACGGGCTGAGGAAGCAGAACTGCCCTCTCCGTGCACAGGAACGTTCCAGGCGAGCAGGAGCTCCGGAGCTGCCCGGGTACAGCCGCTGCGCAAGGGCTGCGGGGAGCCAAGGCAGACCTTCCTCAGCTAACCACAGCGCAGCCCAGGGGGATGCTGGAAACATCCCACATAAAGAAACTCCTGCGGACGGACAGGCGGACACGGGCTGAGGAAGCAGAACTGCCCTCTCCGTGCACAGGAACGTTCCAGGCGAGCAGGAGCTCCGGAGCTGCCCGGGTACAGCCGCTGCGCAAGGGCTGCGCTCAGGGCCGCGCTGCCGCCTGACGCACCGCTCTCCTCTCACACGTATTTTTGGAAAGCAGGAAATTCATTTCTTTGCAGAGGTGGCCAAAATGAGTCTCGGGGCCAGATGCCCCGTCTCAGCTCCGACTCTGGCTCTGTCTCTGGATGCTTTCAGCAGCCCTGCCGCTGCTCCAGGGGAAGCACCTCCAGCTGGCTGGAGTCTTTCGTGCAGCCTGGGCAGAGTCCTTTGGGCGCTGGGGCTTCCTGTGGAACTGTGTCGCCAAGAACAGGAAGTTCTGGCCCCTGCTGCTGACCTTCCAAAGGCCACACTGCACAGCAGGACAACCAGGACCAGGAGCCGCTGTGCCTGCCCATCCCCTGCTCTAACCTGACACGGCTTCGTGACGCTCTTTGCTGGACAGGTTTGAGAACAAACACGAAGCAGAATCTGGGTAACCACCTGCAGCTTCACACTAACTTTGTGGCATCTGCAGACATTTTACCCAACAGGAACAACTCTGAGCTCTTCCCTCTGGCATCAGACGTGCCACAAATCAATGTCACTAAATTGAGGGACTCCAAGAGAAAGCTAGACAAATGCTAACCCCCCAAATTATGTGTTACAGCCCCACTAGCTTCTTGATAATTCACATTAGCTTGTAAACCATTTGTAATCTAAACTGGATGCAATAGTGTTTTTCTTTTAAGAAAAGCTTGTTAGCCATTTGTGGCAATGTGTAAGGACGAGAGCCCTTGCCCGCTGACTGCACGCGTTTGAGAGGCCTTCACCTACACTTACTGAATGGCCCGTGTTTACAACGCATCATCTAAGCTACCAGGTGACTGCTTGTTCGCAGACTCGAACACGTCGTCCGCTCAGCTCTGCAGGAAACAACATTAAAAAGCTTCAGCGTGTGCAAGGACAGCCACACTGCTGGGTTGCACATTTTCCAAGTTTTAATAGACACAAAGTGAGTCCATTGTACTTAAGACACTACAATGACTTTGTTCTATTGCATGTCTTGCTCCAATTACATTTCTCAGAGTACAGTATCGAGTAGAAGTTTGGTAGTTTTAAAATTAACAAGTGTGTGAAATCTGTAAGTAAAATAAGCAGCAGCAATAATTTTGGGGACTTTATCAAGAATAGCTAACTTTTAGGTAATAAATACATTCCAAGTTGTGGTATTTGCTGTTCTCCTAGTCCATGGCCGTACGACTTCTCAGATTCCCATGCCAGGTTGAACCATCCGCGAGCCTCTCCTGCCAGCCGGGGCAGGCGCCGGTCCCTTCCGCAGCCGCCGGTGGGGACGCCCGTCCTCCCGCCACGCGCGCGGCTCCTCCCGCGCTCCCGGGAGCGTGTCAGGCCGTTGCAGACTTCGTGACGCTCTAGGAGAACAGCCGTGCTCTTATCGTCGGTTACCTTGAAGAGAGCGGGCAGAGAGGTTACCGCACGCGCGCGTCGGCTGCGCGGGACGCGCCTCCGAGCCCGGCTGCCCCGCTTGAAACCCGCGGAGCTGCTCCAAGCGCACCCGGCACGCAGGGATGAAAAGGAACGGCCAGGCTCCACTTGGGCATTTTTCCTTTTCTAGCCCTACATGCAAGAGGCATTTGCTTTGGCCCTGTAGGTCAGAAGAGAGAGGAAGCCTTAAAACAGTTCGAAGGGAACAACCATTTGTCCTCAGGATCACGCAAAGCCATCAGAAAAGCGGACAAGACAACTCAGTGAAACACAAATGAATGAAATGTGGCAAGGAGACCCACATTAATGCTTCTCATGCTGCACCACACTTCAGGACATGCCGCAAGGACCACTTCGAGAGCGCCCTCGGCCCTAGCAACCTCTGTGCCCAACCACTGAGACGGGCCGAGTCCAACCACGGGCCCAAATCCGTGCTCCTGGCAAACTGCATTGGTGCTAGGAAGCAAAACATCAAAGACCTTAAAAAAATCCTCAGAGTTGAGATTTGAGACTACAAATACAAAACGTGATAGAACCAAGAAAGGGACCACGGAAAGCAGGAACATGTCCACATTTCCCGTGCTGCTCAAAAGGCACCAACATCCCCTCAGAGAGCACGGAATCCAAGAGCGACTGATTTGCCTGGGCTCACTGTCCGGGGTGATTTTGTCGTGCCCGTGTATTCCTCTTATTTAAGATCTCAAACAGATTTAAGAGACTTACCACACAACAGACTTAAGCTGATTTAACACGCCAGGGACATCTGCCCTGTACGCCATATTCCCACAAGAACTTTAATCGGATTTCGTGTATTTTGGCAGTACTTCGCAGAATTATCCTGCTCCTAAGTGACTGGGATGTGTCAGGACAAGGCCCATTACTCCAACTCAGAGGATAAAGTGACAGTTAATCTTGCAGATTCATCTATTCCTTGGCCTTCTGATGAAGAGTGAGGTTTTCAAGAGCACACAGCTAACTCCCTCGCATGCTTGCTTTCCTTCCAGCAAAACCATACAGTGGGGCATGGATTTGGCACTGTATTCCTTAACAGTTCTTGGAAAAGGCTCTTGCTGGAGGGATCACAGTTAGAGAATAGTTGGGTAAATAGGAAAACGATGTTTCGTTGTTCTGGATGTACTACCAAGCCCCCTGGGCAGGTTTATTCTTTGCGATTTTTACATTCACAGTACTTGGAAGACAAAAACGTCACAGCAAAGGCAGAGTGCCAAATAATCTTCCCAATGAGGCATCCCAGCTATGCAATGAAGACCCTGCATCCTCGTAAGGACGAGGGCACCGGCTGAGACTGCTCTGGGGCAGGGATCGGGGATTCTCCTCTCAGAGAGCAGCACTCGCTGGCAACACGCGAACCTCTGGAACAGCTGACGACTCTGTAGCTCTGAACGGGGACGTTCGCCGCTCCGCTCGCGTTTACCGCAGTTTGGTGCTCGTGCTGACCGCGTCCAGACACACGAGCTCAGGAGCTCCACGCTGGGAGAGCAGAGGCTCCTCCCCGAGGGCTCGGGTGCCTATTTTAAGTAACCCACTAAGCAGCGCCAGGAGCTCTCAACAAGCAGCCAGTATGTGCAGCACAGGGACAGTTGTTCATTCCCGCTCACTTGGTCTCTGGGAAGCTTCGGAGGTTGCTGTTATTAAAAAAAAAAAAAAAAGAGCAGCAGCCTAAATGCTGCATTGTGGGCGCTGCTGCAGCATGGATGCAAATGAGAGTAACGAGTACAGGATGGACGAGGTGAGTCAGGACATGGGCACAATGCAGCAGCCCCTGTGCTAAACTGCACGGCCAAAGCGGAGCCAAGAAAGTTCTCCTCAAGGCACGCGCTTATTCATAACAAAAAAATGCCACTTTGGCTGAAATAAAACCATTCACCAGCTGATTCACAAGGCCAGACGCAGCAGCCCAGCAGCGCAGAAAGGGCCGAGCTCTCCGTGAGGCCGCGGCACGCGGGGACGCTCCGCGCACGGCCGTCCCGCCCGCACTCCTGCGCCCTGGGCTTTTCCGACGGGGCAGCGCAGGACACGCCAGCACCTCCTGCAGGGCCCGGCCTGCGCGACTCCCCTGCTGCAGCGGCGCCACACGTACACGCGCCCAGGTCGGGGACCGCGCACGCGAGGGACGGACGGGAAAGCAGTCCCCGCGCCTCCGTTAGGATGCTTCTGCACGGACACCCAGTAGGTACTTCCAGCCTCTTCAGGATTCAGAGGTCGTGCAGAAGCTGAAACCACCTCCAAAGAGCATGTGCTCAGGAAATCCAGGTACCACCCTGGTCCCCAAATGGGGCAGTAATGGAGCTCCAAGACCCAGGGCGGGAAGCGCCGGCTGCTTCAGACAATCTACCTACGTGCAAGTACCTCACACTGAGCGCTCTGAAACGCTAAGAGGAAATAAGCTTTGCAGTAGCGAGTAAACGTATTTACTGCTTCTTAAATGTGCGTTTGAAGTGACATGACCTTGGGGCCCCCAAGGGGACCCCATGTTCACAGCGCAGGCGGCCTGGCAACCGGCACGAATCCAACCTCCTTAGACAAAGGCTTTCCTGGAGAACGCGGAGCGGGGGCAGCGAGCGGCGCGGGGCCGAGCGCTCTGCCCTCGCGCCCTCCCGGGGCACCGGCACCAGCAGGGTCGCTGCCCTGCGCCACTGGACGGCTTATAAATGCAGGCAGCAGCAAAGCTGTGGTCTCCTCCACAGGTAGCTGCTTCTGGAGGAAAAACTCTCGATCGTAACGCTGGTGACTAACCGCGAGCTGTAATGCAGCCCTAGCAAGTTGCCCTGCCTGCACACCCCGGCCCGTCTGCCCCTCGCAGCGGCCTGTCCTCCTGCGGGCCAGACGCAGGGCTGCCCCGGCACACCGGGACGCCTCCCCCGCTC